TTTTCTCCTCATGCTTCCTTACCTATATTACATGATAATGGTTTGAGATTCGAATTACATTAAATTTATTCTAACCCTAAATGTGCAAGGAATGATTCCGAGGAACGCGGCTCTGATACTAATTATAAAAGCCTAAAACCCTTATCAAGGATTTCAAGCGTTTAACATAATCATAAAAATAATAATACTGAAATTTTTATTTAGCAAAAGAATTAAATGTTCTAAGATTACATTCCTTGTATATTTACTTAAAATACTCAAATAGAGGCTATGAAAATGTTTCGGAACTTAAAATGAGAAAACCACTAACAAGTAAATAATATTAACCTCTATTCGAAATTAACATAGCAGAAAGATGTAATTGTTTAACTGGTCTCTTGTTGTTCAGGATCCGGGTCTTGATCGTCCTGATCTGAAATGGTTAATAAAAAAGAGATGAGTTAGACTAATTCAGTAAGAATATTAATACCTTACCATTGATACAAAAAATTAAAGGACTGTAGAAAATATAAAACAACCGATTGAGTAAAATTTTAGTGAAATTCGAATACTAATGCATTCCTTGTCTGTTTTACTAAAAATGTTAATATTCTTATTCCTGACTAGTAATCTATCAAACACAATACCCTAAATAGAATTAGAATGACGATTTAATCACAAAAAACATACACTCAAATAAACATGTAGCGTTGGGTTCTTTACCATTTTGTTTGAGATTGGGTTTTCTTGTCATACTCATTCCTGTTTTACTATATTTATCTCCTCCTACCGGTATCATTATAGGCCCATAGAGATCTCTGCTACTCGTGGATACATAACACTTCCTTCTAAATTAATCAGTCGTCCCCATACCCCATCCGGTAATGGGTGCCACAACTAAAGATCGACTCAATACCCCGTCCGATATGAGTAAAATTAATTAACTCTCAATCCCATATAGTATGGGACTTTCTAGCCCCGTACAGCTGAGGGTAACGTCTACGGTAGGGTTCACTCTATGTACCAAATCCATACATTCTTTCCTATGATACTCGATAGGCCATGTTATTCAACAATTTGGTTTATTATGCATGGATATTTTTTATTTTTTTATCTAGCCACCAATAACATGTAAGACCCATACTTTAAAAAGAATATAAGTAAACAAAATTCATGCTTCGAAATTTGTTAAGAGATAAAACCGTAAGTAAAAGTGAAATAAAATATCCTAATAGAATAGAGACGTCAAATTTTGTGATAACATGAATAATAAAATAAAACGACGAATTGAGGTAAAATCAACTAAGGAAAAATATGAACAATGAAACGAAATGAAATAAAATCCAATGACTCAAGAAGTGAAACTAACACATTGGTTCTAAATTGATGTAACAGAAGAAAAATGGAAACAGGTAAAATCAACTGAAAATAAATAGAATAAAATAAGGTAACATAAAATAAAATGAAGTAAAAATGATAAAATAACATAAAAATAACATTAACGAATAAACAACACGAATAAGCTAGCGACAAACATAATTAAATCGATTTATGGGCTACATCGGCATCCTGTATTTAATTTACCAAGAGATCACAAAACTATTTAGAATTTTAGTTTATTATTGATTAAACTTTGATTTAACCGTAACAGAAAAAATGTTGAGAGATTCCTACACTGGGTCGTAGTCCAGGGCACCGCCTTTTTCACTATGGTTCGTGATGGTTCCCGATTATTAGATTCTTGGTTTTCCTGATAAAATTTGGAAGCTCAAATCAAAATAACGTAACAATACGTAAGAAATTGTGAAAAAGGCGTAAAAACTCATCGGGGTTGAGTTGGGGTTCTGATGTAGCGGTAGCACCAAGCTCTGCTGCCTGGTTCTCCTTGTTCAACGCTTCTCCCTCTCGGCCAAACCGATTGTAGCCAGTCCCTGATGGAAATTAGTTTAAATCGTGGAAAAGAGGTGTTTTACGGAGAAAAGAGGGGAAAATTTTGGTTTTACTGTCAGTTTTCATTCTTCGGTGTGGCGGTTCAGCCAAACTTTATCATTCCTCTCTAGTAGGTTACAGCTTCTCTTAGTTATCCTGCATCGAGAATGGTCTAAATAGCTAAGGACAGAGAAACGGGAAGAACACGAAGAAAATTTGGGGTTACCAACGCGTTTTGGGGTTTTGGCACGATGACACTATCGTCTCTCTGGTGGCTAAGCTTTTCTTATGGCCACCTTTCTTCTTCTTCTCCAGTCACTTATGTCGGCTAGGGTATTAGGGCCGGCTGAAGAGAAGTTTAAATACCTCTATTCAACTAATCTGGGTTGTTCATTCTAGGAAGCGTAGAGGCACGTGGACCGTCCGATTGCGCTTATATGGAGAATTCATCCTGATCGTTCAATCTGGTTCGCGTGGGGCAATCAGGGTCATTTAATCGAGCTTATTCGAGGAATTGATCTTGGTTGTTTGTGCGTGCAGGAGTGGACACGAATCATTCGATCTTCCTGGCACACAAATTGCTAGCGTAGGCTTCCTGCATGGAGCCCGTGTTGACGTGGGCACCATGTGGCATGCAGGGATTCATTGTGCTGCTAACTGGGCATCCACGTGGTCTGTTTTTTCTTTTTTGCTAATCAACCCATGTTTTTCAAATTTTCTTTCAAATATGCCCCCCTTTTATTTACAGTTTGGTCCTGGTTTCTAAAATTTATTTTCCAATGTGCCCAATATATATATATTCTTCTTAGTAATTATTTTTTGCATCTTGTAATTAAAAGAAAAAGAAATTCAACTATTATTATTATTTGAGAAATTTAAAATTTACTCTTCGAAAACTAATTTCCGAACTCGGGATGTTACATGAGAGATTAATGGAGAGAAAAAGGAAGAAAATAAAAAAATATAAGGAAAGAGGGAGAAAGAAAGAGAGAAAGAAAGATAAAAAAAAAAAAGCTTCTTTATTCATTAAGATTGCATCAACTAGGTAGTTATATCGTCATTGTTTCAATCGCATTAAAAATTTAAGATTTTTTCATTTGTTTTACAATTGATTTCAACTTATTAACTTATATTAGTGATTGTTATTATTTTACCATCTTTCTCACATCATAAGCTATATTGCTTGAATTTGAGTAAATTATAATCACATTATTAGTATGATATATAAAAATATCAATTACATAGATTTTTCTAAAAATTATTTTGTAATGAGAAACATGACGTCTTTGGAAATGCAATGTTGATGGGATTGTATCGAGATCAGAAACTGAGGTTGAGTTTGGGGTGGTGATTTGCATTTCAGCGGGGTCAATCTAGAAAACAATTTTGGACCGATTGCGTGGTTGCAGAACGTCGTTCTTAATAGAGTTACTTGGCTGTTGGCAAGTGCTGTAATACCTCACCACTAATGTCAACAGACTTGGTGTACTAAAAGTGGATGCCCAGTTAGTGAAGATGGCGTTAATATCACATGCAAAGATGACTCAAAGTATGAGTTTATAGTAGACAATTATAGGATGCTCTTAGCAAAACGATTAGATATCTCCGTCAGCTGGGTAAGAAGAGATGGCAACACAATCGCTCATAACATACGAGAGAAGCGTTATCTCATCAGAATTTATGCGGAAAGTATTTAATTTTTCCTAACATAATGTATTATTTCTTGTTTTTAATGAAGGTGAATATTCTTTAAAAA